CTGCTCAGAAGGCCCCCCGCCAGTCCTTCAATGGTTCTGGGAAGACTGGCGGGGGACCTCGGAAAGTGGCGCTGGGGGCGGGACCGCCCCCCCCACGGCAAAGTGCCACTTTCAGAGGCTTCCCTGAGTGCATTTCCACTGCCTTTTTACATGCTGGGGAAGCCCAGGGTAGCCTCTGGAAGCAGCACTTTGCTGCGGGGGGTGGGTGGCGGGCCTGCCCCCGCCCCACCGTGGCAAAGCGCTGCTTTCAGAAGCCTCCCGGGACTTGCTCAGCAGGTAAAAAGACATTTGTCTTGCAAAGCAGGGCCATAGGAACATTCATCTTGCGAGGCACCAAAACCCTAGCCAGACCCATTCGTCTAGCGAGTTTTTCGTGCTGTGAGGTATTCATCTTGCGAAGCACCACTGTATTTATTAATTAAATTTCTATCCCACCCTTTTAGACAGTCTACTTTTCTAAGTAGTAGAAAAAAATCTACTACTTTTTTCCTAAAATAATTAGAGGAAAATTGGAGGGTTGTTTTATACATGGAAGGAGGTAGCCGCATGCGCACTCGGGCACCTCTTGCTGCCACCTCAATGGCTTGTTCCCTCTGGTGGCTGAGGCAGCAGCAGCAGGCAGAGACGAAGGCAAAGGAGCACTCATGCGTGTTTGGACGCCTCTTGCTGCTGCCTCCCCCGCCTGCCCAGTCACCACCTCCAGTGGGACTGAGGGGCTCAGCTCACATTGCCACCTTGTCCCCTTTGGTGGCAGGGGCAGAGGCGAAAACAAACAAGCATTCAGATACATGTTTTTGGTTAAAACATGTATCTGTTATATAATGCCAGTCAATATAATTTTGACTGTGCCTGGTGTTTTTGAATAATAATAATAGTAATAGTAATAGTAAAATTGCCTTCTTTTTTTTTAATAATAGTAATAGTAATAATAATAGTAAAATTGCCTCTCTTTTTTTGATGCAGTTGTACACTTCATACATGCTCATCCTCTCCATTCATCAGGAATACTCTGGATGTAGTATATTATGATTTCAGCAAAACGTTTGACAAAATCTGCCATGATACTCTTGTGACCAAGTTGGTAAAACATGGACTATCCAGTGCCTCTGTTAAATAGATTTTTAGCTGGTTGATAGGACATAGGCAAAAAAGTGCTTCCTTCCAATGTTTCTTTGTTATCCTGACAAGTAGGATGCCATAAGGTTCTATCCTGGGCCTAGTGTTGTTGAAGCATCTGGAAACCTACGGTTGGTGGAACTGCATACTTTTTTCTGGAGAAGACTGAGGCGATCTAAATACCATCTTCAAACATTTAAAGAGTTGTCACATGGAAGATGGAGTGAGCTTATATTCTATAGCTCCAGAGAATAGGATCCCAAACAAATGATTCAAATTGTAAGAGAGAAGATTTTTGTTAGATATCATGGAAGAACTTCCTGACATGAGAAC